CAGCTTCCCTGGGTACTGAGCCCTCGCCCTGCACCCTGCGTGAGAAGGCAGGTGCGGGCTGTGCCTTTCAGAGAGGTATGACTGTGGAGATTCCTGATTTCTTTGCTCCTAGGAGGTAAAGGGCTCCTGTCCTATCCCACCCACCTGGTGCAGTGCTCCAGAGCCACTTTCTCTACAATCTCAAGACTTGGGGACACCATCTCTGGGCCTGGCCTGGTGCTAAGCAGGACCCGTGTCTCATCCCCTTAGTCCCCAGTGCAGCTGGAGAGCAGACATCCTGGGCCCAGGACGCGTAGGTCCCAAAGTCAGGGTCCTGGGAGTTGCAGGGGACCCTCTGCTTGGGAGTTCCTCTGTGAAGTGTGGCCCAGCAAGGCGAGGGGGGAAGAGGCGGCAGTAGGTGGAGCAGGGCCACCTCCCTGCGCCTGGCCTCCAGGCCACCAGATGCCAGGATTCCCTCTGCCTCAGCTCTCCATGCCCGACAGCAATTTCACTCTTTCTAGTCTGAGCTGGGGTTTGTGGCAGTAATGGATGCTGGATTACTTCCGTCATTTAGAGTACTTCCTGCCGCCAGAATCTTTACTTCCTCCTCGTGCCCAGAGACCGCCACCTTGTGTCTGAAGGCCTAGCAGTCCTGGGGGCTCAGCGTCTCCATTCCCAGGAGAGGCTCCTGTGTGCTTCAGGGGCACTAGTGGCCACATGAACCTCCCCTCCATCATCACATCCACCTTCCAACTATCCTCCGGGGTTCTCCCCTCAGGGACAGATGACAGGGCGACATCATCACCCCACTCCTCCTGAGGGTTTGGCAGAAGGAAGCCTCTAGGTCTCCTAAGAGCCCTTGAAATTCAACCTGAGCACCAAGAAGAGGGGACACAGCCTTCAGGGGCTGGTGGGGGTGGGCCGTCCCAATGAGAGCTAGCAGTGCCTTCCTTTTACCTTATGGCTTTCCAGAGCTTCAGGTGTGCCCACTGGTGTGCCTTCAGAGAGACCTCCAAGGCCCTCCGACCCCCTCCGAGAGTCATCCGGGAACCTTAACCTGTGGAGGTGGAAGTAGCTCCCAGTTCTCCTCCCAGCCACTGCGGGCCCTGGGCTGCCTTCTCCTGTGCTTGCAGAGGGTTGCGTGACCCGGGAATTCAGAGTTAGGCTGCTTCCAGGCAACCTCAGGTTTACTTCTCAGCCCACTCTGGGTGGACATCTGTCTCTAGCCCCTTGTAGACAGCAAGGTGCCCACAAACCCTAGAGGACCCCAAGCAGGGGCTCAGGACCTTGGACTCTGGAGTCTGTGGCATTAGGGTGGCAGAGCAATCATGCCCTCCGTGGCCTACCATAAGCACTGATGTCCAAATAGGGGCATGGCCTTGAAGCCCAGGGATGGCAGCTTCCATCCTGAGATGCAGCAGAGCTGCAAGAGGCCAAAACAGGACACAGGACATGGATTCTGGTCCCCCCACGGCAGTGGGAGGAGTATCGTGGAGCTAGGACTCAAGGGTCAGTCTGGTGGCCTCAAGCAGGTATGGGAGCCAGGGTGGCTTGTGAAGAGCGAATGGTTATTTCTTGCTCTTCCAGGGGCCAGAAGTGGACCCCAGTGCCAATGTGGTCGGGCGTCAGTCATGCTTGTAGACAGCTGCTTTCAGTTGTCCCCTCACATGGCAGAGAGAGCAAGTGAGCTCTCTGGGGTCCTGTTCATAATGCCACTCAATTCGGTCTTTAAAAAAAGGCATTAACAACCTGGGCACGGTGGTGCACCCCTGTAACTTCAGCACGTGGGAGGTTGAGGCAGGAGGCGCACCATGGGGCCAAGGCCGGTCTGAATAAAGTAAATCAAAGATGTTAGCACATTTGTTACTGAATTATTTGTTGCTAGCATTCTGCTCAGATCTTTCCGGGAATCCAGTCATGACATCTCAACCGTTTCAGTGTCACTTCCATTTTACAAGAAGAGAATTGAGTCACATGATTTAATTCAGATGCCAATAACAGTAGGGGAGGAATCAGTGGAACAGAGAGTGACCCAGGGCTGTGTGATTTTGCATCTGTCTTCTCTATCAAAAAATGTATGCATAAATTTAAAAATGAGCTTTAATGGGCATTTATTAAAGCGCTCACTGCAACTTCTAAAATTATGTGTCCAACTCTTGGTTAGTTTATTTATTCAATAAGTAATCTATTTTCTGATTTGAATTTTCTTGTCATTTCTAGTTAAATCCTAAAACAAGACCTAGTTTCATAGTGGTACATAGAAACAGTGATTGCGGAGCTTCTACAGCTTCCGATGACGACAGACTCCTGGCCATGGGTCGCCACCACCGCTCTAGGGAGGTCTGCAGTCTCCCGGGCATCCAGTTTACACTCTGACACGTCATTGCAGAAGCATGGAGCATAGAGCCACAGCGCTTCCCCTGATGACCCCGCGGGTCTGTGGCTGCCCCGGTTTCAGGTCTTGTGGTGCACAGTTCCTTTTTAGGACTGTTTTCAGTACACATTTGCCGGTCGTGGTCCCGTTCCTTGGGGGCTGATGTGTGTGTGCGACTCATCTGCCCTGCCTTCCCGTCCTCTCTGCTGCCCTCCCGCCATGCCCTGCTCACCTGTGAAGGCCCCACCTAGTATCATTCTTCTCAGGTGAGGGTGTGTATGTGGGAGGTGGGAGTGGGAGCGGGGGCACAGACTGCAGGTTCCGAGTCCTGATTGAGTTGGGAAGGAGGCCGTGGTGGAGTGGTGATCAGAGCGCCCACTGGCTTCCCTGGCACCGAAGTCAAGGGCACGGTGGGTATATGTGAAGGTGCTGGCAATGTGGCCAGCGCATGTGTAAAAGCCGGGGAGGGCCCGGTTGATAGTTAAGTGCACAGGAGGACGAAGGCGTCCCACAGGGAGGCTAGGGAGGAACTGCAGGTGACCCTCAGACTCCACAGGACTCTGCTCCTTCCCAGAGAAGCTGCAAGCAGGGTCGATCAGACTCCAGTGGAACAGACCAGAGTGCACGGGTGGCACAGGCTGCAGCTTAGAAAGACAGAAAGTGGGGCCGGTCATGGTGGTGCGCAGCTGCGATCTGTACACTCTGGAGGGCCGAGGCAGGAGGACTGTGCGCTCGAGCCCAGGCTGGGCACCCTCGAGACTAAACAGGACTCTGCCTGTCAGTGACCTATGGGCTGGGATGTGGCTCCGGACCAGGCCTGGCTGCCATCCTGAGGGCCCTAGAGAAGATGCAGACTGTGTGGCAAGCAGGGGCCTGTCCGGGGGAAGAGGCAGTGCCTGTCAGAGGTTGAGGGCCATTTGGGGGCATGACCTGACAGTGAGTCCGTGATGGCACTGGTTGTCCTGGGAAGCAGCTTTCTCTACCTGCAAACACTTAAGAAAACAGGCTAGAGTTCTTCAGAGCCTGGGGGCAAAGAAGCAGGGCAGAGAGGCAAGGGGGTGCGGGTACCAGGCAGGCGCGGTTGGGCTGATGGGCAGCGCTGTCCTGGCCAGCTGGTCTCAGCAGCAGGGGCACAGGTGAGACCACAGGACAGCTGGCAGGGAAAAGGGAAGGTCAGGGGCCGCTGGCAGTAGGACCAGGGAAGTGTAGGGTAGCTGGCCCTTGTGACAGTGCAGGGCAGTCAGGGTAGAAGGAAACTGGGAGCCCAAGTGAAGTCCCCCAGAAAGAGGGCTCTGGACCGGGGGAGATATGCAGAGATGAGGGATGAAGGCAGCCATGCTGCCCCTCAGAGGCAGGCTGAGTTATGGCAAAGGTTGCCGCCCCAGGGCCAAATCCTCCTGGCTACCTGCTCAGTTTTCTGAATAAGGTTTTACTGGGATACTGCCCTGCCCACTCACTTTGATATCATCTGTGACTGTTTTGCACCTCAAGCACAGCAATGAGTCCTTGAAGCAGACCACAAAGCCTATAGCAGTTGCCGCCAGGCCCTTTCCGGCAAAGGTTGGCCAGCACTGATTGTACAGGAGCATCCAGCAGCTGTGTCTCCTTTAACCAAAATCCCAGCCATCCCAGGGTCCCAGGATTGGTTCCCAAAGTCCCGTGGAGTCCCAGAGCCACGGCATGTGCGCCGGCTTCCGGTGATCAGCGTGTGGGCTCCATCCTGGTGGTGCTGGCCTCCTTCTCGACAGTGGCTTTCCCTGGGTGTCCATCAGAGGGCTGGAGTGGGGGCTCAGGGCCGCGGGCACTGCTCTGGCATAAAATGCCGTGCTATTTTCATATCACCTCTGCACCTCCAATGTGAACTCCAACACTTCCAGATGCGGGCTCATACTGTGTAAGTGGTTGTCACACTGTGTGTTAGGGAATCCTAAGGAAGGGCCCACTCATGTTCCATACAGACTCACCCATTGTAGGTCTCTCTGTACGGCGCACGATCTGGTTGGGTTTGAATCCACAAACACAGAGTTATAAGTACATACAAGAAAAAGCTTCTCGTGCACCTGCAGGAGACACCATTCGAATGCCCAGAGTGCACATGGCCCGTGGCTCCTGCTTTGAGCCACTCAGGGCCAGAGCATCCTCGAAGTCCCGTTGGCCAGAGACAGCAGGCTAGAGGCCTCCAGCCTGGCCGGGGCCTGAGTTGCGGCAGATGTGCGGCTGCCGGCGGCAGGGCTGGCGGGACGGGCTGCAGGAGGGGGAGAGCTGACGCTGCCGGGTCACTGCCCTCCGTTCCGCAGGCTCCACGGACAGCGTGGAAAGTGCTGCCCTGCCTGGGAAGCAGCACCGCTCTACACATTACAGCACATGATGGTTACCATGGAGCTGAGCCACCTAGAGTGGTCTGGATGTGGGATGCACCCTCTTGACACTGCCCGCCCTCTTCTGGCCAGTGCTGATTCTGTGTGGCTCCCTCTGCCAGGCACAGGGGCTGAGCAAGGAAATGTGCCCCAGCTGGCCGCAGGTTCCTAGAAGCTGTCCCTTCTCATTCACCTGGCCTGGCTGCCTCGGTGGTGCTGGGGCCAAGGCCAGGCTCTTGGATGCTTTGTCCCCGTCTTCTCTCTGGGGAGAGCTCACTCTGTACCCTCAGTTCCAGGTCCCTGTGAGCCAGAGGATCTCATCGATGGGATCATCTTTGCCGCCAACTACCTGGGGTCCACGCAGCTGCTCTCTGAGCGCAACCCCTCCAAGAACATCCGCATGATGCAGGCACAAGAGGCCGTCAGCAGGGTCAAGGTAGGGGTGCTTCTGGGCCCCCAGGGACACTGCTTTGGGGAGCACAGTTGTCAGGAGCATAGTGGAGCACAGGGATCCTGTCCCACTCTGACCACACGCCCTCAGTGCAGAGTGGGGAGAGCCAAGGGGCCCAGCAGAGCTGAGGGAGATTTGCACCATGAGTGGTCAAGTGCTAGGCTTGGCACAGAGGCCACCAGCTCCTTAATAAGGAACAGTCTACCCGGTCCTAAGAAACACATCTTTTTAAGGATAATTGTTTGGAGCCATTCTAGTTATAAAACATGTTTGTTTGACACTTCAAATCCCATTTCAACCATGTGTATATTTTTAGCACCATTCAAAATACTTCCAGAAAGGGGGAAAGTAAATCATGTTTTATTTACATGTATGACCTCAGGGAATACTCAGACATGCTTGCAGCACTAGGCGCATGGTGGACTGTCTGGGTTTTGAACAGCCGGTGAGGATGGACGGGGAACAATGAAGCCACATCAGAATGCCAGATGGGGTCGGGGAGGGGACAGGAGAGCCTGGGTCGAGCCCCTCCTGGGCTGCCTGCCTGTGGGGTGGGGTGAGCTTTGTCAGCCCTCCCCCCGGCTTCTCGTCTGCCCACTCCACACTGACCTCTGACGGTCAGCACAAGGCCATCTGCGTTGGCCAGGGGGAAGCAGAGCAAGCGAGGGGCAGTGCTGAGCCCTGCAGCCAATGGCCTGGGTCCTCTGGCGCTGACCCAGCGTGGCTCGCTCTGCTGCTCGCTGTCCTCCTCAGTGACACTGTGAACAGAGACGCTGACAGTCACTCCTGGCCCTGGAGGGCAGGTGTGTGTGTGGGAGACAGGCAAGGGTTTCCGCCTGTCCCCGTGGAGCGCTTCTGCTGCACAGCCGCTCGGAGGGCTGGGGCGTTGGGCCCATGGTGACATGACCCTGCCGCGCCTTCCTCCCTGGCACTCACCTGCTTTTCTCTTCTCTTCCATGCTGCTCAGAGGATGCAGAAGGCTGCTAAAATCAAGAAAAAAGCGGTGTGTAGGACCACTGCTCCTGGGACAGTGGAGTGTGTTGTGTGTCTGTGTGTGTCCTGTGCTGTGGGTGCTTCCAGGGGGGCCCCATAATGTGCTGCAGGCCTGGTTTTCCCCTCCCTTGGGGGTGAACACTGGGCTTTGAATAAAGCTGCCGATTCTGTTCTTCACTGCCCACTCCCAGAAGAGCTTAAGGATTGCTCCTTTTCGGTTTTCTGTTTTAGGTTCTCTGACGTCCTTAGGCGTGGCACCTGCTGTGAAGCCCGTCTCATGTGGACGTTTTTAAATGTCAGTGTGGTGTATCCAGCACACATGGGGCCTCCTGTGCCACATCAATTGCGTTGTCCTGGCACTGAGATATATTAAGTTCCATTTACCAAATCAAGACAATGATGACGAGTCACTCAGATTGCCTGTGAGGTGCTTCCTCTGTTGACAGTAATTTTTGGAACCTGAGCAGACTTTTTAAAAAGGACAGCTAGGTGGATTTGCAGGCCTTTGTTGAGCCAGGCATCTGGTCAACCTTGGTGGTTGTCTAACTGCCGTCGTCAAAGTCCTTGGTGTGGGAAGGCCCAGGAAGAGTCCGTGGGGAGCTGGCGCTGGCCCGCTGCCTGCCACTGACCTCTGCTTATGCAGTGAGAGGTGCGGCCCTCCCCTGCGTGCTGCAGCAGTGGGGTTTTCTGGCACCGTGGCCAGGGGCCCCCATCTGCAGGCTCCCTGCCCCTGCAGGAAATGCTCTGCCCACCTTCAGGGCTGGAGAGAAAGGGACACACTCTGTCCCTGTACCATGCAGTGTTCCCTCTTGAAGCCTCTGGGCAAAGCAGAGTGACCCCCATTCCAGACCTGCAGCTGTGTTGTGTTGCCTCTAAAGAGGCCGCTTCTGCAGGCTCAGTGCACCCCTGGGCTGCCCAGGCAGGAGCACAGCGGAGCAGAGGAGCCCCAGCTTGCTCCTGGGGTCTGCAGGAGCAGAAGTCCTATAGATCCGCTGTTTCTGGAGGGCATGGGCATGGGCATATGGGCAGACCCAGCTGAGATAGGCCTCGGGGGCCAGGTTCTGCTTGGTGGCCTTGTTCCTCCTTTCCAAGCAGCAACATGCTCAGGATCACTGGCCCAGGCAGATGCTGACGGCTGAGCCCCCCACTGACACTTATTCTCTGGCGTCCGCCTGGGATCTGGGCTGCTGGGACCCTCCATTTGTCCACCAGGGTGTAACCCAGGTGCCCTTTCCCCTCCCTGTTATTGCTCGGGGGTCAGCTCCATTCACTGGAACCTGGCCTGCTTCCCTGTACATATGTGACACCATTGTCACCAACACCAAAATGCACCCATGACTTCTCTGACTTTCTTCTGGCTTTAACTAACTTTTGAGAGAGGGGATTTTGATCTGCAGTACTCAGAACATAACTTTTAAGTCTATAAAGACTTATAGATGATAGCCTGACTATAGCCTTATGTCTTAAAACAAAGAAAAATCTCCTTCACAGCCGTCCACATTATTTTTCCGATGGATTGTTTAGAACTCTGTTCTTTGATTCGTTAAAAACAGTATCGCCCTGGGATTCCCTGGAAGCCCATAAGATCTTTCCCTTTAAAAACTGAGCTAAAATACAAATTGTCATTATAGCACGGGGCCTCTTGGTGACTCGGAATTCTTGAGGAACAGTCAGTGGGAATATTTTTGATTTGAGATTTGCTAGTGAGTTAATTAAATCATGCTTTCTGCTGTTCTGAAGTGGACGATGTACCACTGCGGGCTCCCGAGTGACCACGCTGAATTACCCGCCCTGTCGGGCAGCCCGGGGAGCCTGCTTTCCATCAGTGCCACACCGCAGCAATTAGGATTCTCACAGGTGTAAAAACCAATTAAAAGCTGCCTGCTTTGGGGCAGATCTTGAGTAGTTTGCTTGGCTTCAAAAACAGTCCACGGAAACATAACTCACAGTTCTACACCGGACTTGCTCCGATGGGGTGCCAGGTCAGCGGCATTTGGGTGCTAGCTTCTCTGTGTCACTGTAGGCTGCACCGGTGCCCACCCTGAACCTCATTCCCCTGTGGTGCTCAGACGGCGTGACCAAGGCATCCACACCGATGTGCCTATTCAAACCGGAATCGAAGGGCTGGCATTTTAATCTAGCTTCTATGAAAATGTTGTCCCCGGGGATACTTGGAATCCCCTATCTAAGAAACAGCTTTTAATCTAATGGCGCTGCGCCTTCGCTGAATTCCACAGGGGCTAGCAGGGGCCCAGCCTGCTGCAGAAAGGAGGGGCTCCCACACAAGAACCCCCACCCCAGCAGCTGCTCCCTTTCTGTTCAAGCCTGCCAGAAGCCCCTCGCCTCCCTCTCCTCTGTGCCTCTTACACACTGCTCTGGGGACTGACATGCAGCACTGGATTCTAAGCCCGGCTTGTAGATTTCCAGTGGCTGCTCCATTCTGAAGCAGCAAGCATTTCCTTCCACACGGACTAGGGGTAATCGGTACAACTGCCGGGCCTTTGTTGGAGTGCACATTTTGCTTGGTGACAGCCTCTCTTATCCTTCCTTAGAACTCCGAGGGGGACGCGCAGACGCTGACGGAAGTGGACCTCTTCATCTCCACACAGAGGATCAAAGTTCTAAATGCAGACACACAGGTAAGGGCTCGTGGGCCAGCTGCCTGAGGTTGCGCACAGCAGCGCCCAGGTGTGCACCTTGGGGACGCTGGCAAACAAAGTCCAGCTGCAGAAGCGAGTGCCCAGAGTGGGAGGGAACCATGACCCCAAGGTGGCGGCTCTGCAGCCTGGGTCTTGAGGGAACTGTGGATGTGGACAGTGGAGCAAGCCACAGGGGCCAAGGAGAAGAAGACCCCCCAGAGGCTGCGCAAACCCACAGCTGGGATCACATGGGGACAATGTGAGGGGCAGCGAGAGGCAGGTGCTCCACCAACCGGGATTCCAGGAGGGCCCTCCCGAAAGCCCCTCTTGCTCAGCCTGCGAATCCAGCTGGGGGAGGCGGGAATCTGGGGGGGGGGCTGTGGCTCTGCATGGTGGCGTTCCAGTGTAGAGGGTCCCCGTGATTCATTTGCCTCCCGAGGTGGCCAGCTTGTGTCTGATTCAGATTCTGCTATTTTTTTCTGGGCCTAAAGCACCCCACGGAGCTTACGTTGGGGAGGGAAAGCAGTGCAACAGACAAGCGAGCAAAAAGCGGCCGTGTGTGAAAGACAGAGGACTCCAAGCTGATGGGGCTTGAGACGGGGGAGGCTGCAGGTGCTGAGCAGATGCCAGGGTTGGGAAAGACCCTGCTTGCCAGCTAAGTTGGTGCATGAGGGCTCGGAAAGAAGGAGGGGAGGGAAGCCGCTCACTGTGCCCCAAGTGAGGATGGTCTGATGCGCAGGATGAGAGGCACTTTGAATCCACCAATGACACTCTGGACCCTATGGGGACTCAGATCCCCACACCCAGGTGCTTTTACCACTAATGGGCTTGCCCTAGTAGCTTACAATATTTGAAGTGCAAGGTATTGATTTTCTTTTTAAAAAATATTTATTTATGTATTTATTTGGTATAGGGTCTTACTATACAGCTTGGACTCATAGTGATCCTCCTGTCTCAGCCTCCCCAGCACTGGGATTACAGGCATGCACTGCCATGTCCAGTTTTGGTGGCTGGCTGTGGCTAGCACAGCGTGCAGTACCAGGGATGAAACCTGAGTCCTTGCGCTTGCCAGGCAGGTACTTATACTGCTGAGCTGTCTCCTCAGCCCCAAGGTGTTGATGTTCAAATGATGTCATGCTTTCTACTTTTCGTTTGTTTTTGGGTTTTTCTTTTTTTGTCTTTTTGAGACAGAGTTTCACTATGTAGTTCAGGCCTTGAACTCACTTTGTGGCCCAGCCTGGCCTTAAACTTGCCATGATTCTTCTGCCTCAGCCTCTTGAGTGCTGGGACTCCAGGCATGCACACCTTCATCCAGCATGCTTTCTATTTTTATTATCTGACATTCTGTGAAAAGTGCATTCTGCTTTTATTTGCTCCTCCCTGTTCTTCCCTGTGCACCTTGAGATCCTGCTTCTCTCCGTCTGTCTGTCTGTCGTCTGTCTGTCTGTCTGTCTGTCTGTCTGTCTGTCTGTCTCTGAGACAGTGTTTTCATTTTAGCATCTCCCTGAGAGAATAAGACATGTGCCCTGGCCCCGACATGGAATCAGCCATTTCTTCAGGGGACTGTAGGTTCCTTTGAGGGACGCAGAAGCAGAGAGCTGGCTGCCCGAGGGGCTCGTGGCTCCTGGGGTGTCCCGGCAGCCCGCAGAGGTAGACCACACAAGAAGCCATGCATCCACTCAAGTCTCCTGCTGGCGCCAGGAGTTCTTGTCACCATCCCCAGTTCTCCTACACTCTTGTTCCACTACCTGGCCCTAGTTTCCGACATTAGGGCATCTTTCTCATTCGCTGCCCGTGTTATTCAGCTTTCCATTACTGCAACAAAATATCTCGTAAGTTGAGGTAGACACCTTGGAAAGAGGAAAGGCTTATGCCAGCTCAGCTGTGTAGGTTTGAGTCTGTGGTTAGTAGTCCATTTCTAAGACAGTCCAGAGCAGCATGTTACGGTGGGAACACAAGGGACAGGAAGTGGCTCACCTCACTGTGGCTGGGAAGCAAAGAGTGAGAAAGGACAAGCCGGGGGCCGAGGTCTCCTGGGGGACCCACTTCCCCCACTAGGCCTCGCTTTTTCCAGGTTCAGGCCCCTCCCAATACTGCCCTGGGGTAGGGACTGAGCCTTCAATCCACATTTGGGATGCAAACTGTGGTACTGTCTCTAGCAAAGTGTAGTGAACTACAGTACTCTCTCCTGCTGTCTACATGGAGCCAGCGTTGCAGGGCTGAGGGACAAGCAAAAAAACACTCAGCAGGTAGCAGGGGAGCTGGGCCGGGGGAGGGATGGGAAGACTGTGGGAGCTCTGAGTACCTCCTTTGCTTCCCTACTCATGGGGAAGCCTACCACTTGGGTCAGAGAATGGACTGAGGTGTATCTTGGAGCTGGGCTGACTCCGTCATGGGGCCTGGGCCATGGGCCACTTCCAGCCACAGTGCCCACCAAGGCCTCCAGGCCCTTGAGGCTCCATCCTTGTCATGTGTGTGTTCTCCACATTTGGGATTCAGCTTGTCCTGCTGATCTTTGTGTGAGCCGAGCCACCTCCCCTGGAGCCCTGCCTTGTTGAGAACTTGAGGAGCACCTTGGACTTCCAACAGGGCCCAGCATCCAACTGGTGGTGCTTCTGCCTTGGTCTCAAGTTTCATCATCTTGTCCTGGCAAACTCTGGAATGATTCACCCTGCTACCCCTCTGGCTTTCATCCCTCCTCTGCCCAGATGCAGTGGTTCCCAAGGAGATCTCCAGGACTAGCATGGTGCTTTCTTTTGACTAAGAGCAAAATCACCATGTTAATCAGCCTTCTGTCACTGTAACAAAATAGTTGAGGGGGTCGGTTTATGGGGCAGAAGGGTTCATTGTGGCTCATGGTTTCAAAGGTTGTAGTCCATGGCCATTTGGTCCCATTTCCTCATGGTGGGAGTACAGGGGACCAACCTGCTGCTCACCTAAGGCAGTCAGGGCCCAGAGTATCCCTTTGAGGGTGAGCCCTAGTGATCTAGCCTCTTCTACCAGGCCCCACCACTTAGTTACCTCCCAGTAGTGCCGACGGCTGGGGACCAACCTCTCAATTTTATGGCAACATAAAAATGTCACCAGAGGGGCTAGAGAGGTGGGAGCAGGTAAGAGACTCTCTGGCAGCTGAGGTAGCTGTGGATAGGACAGATGGTGGCTGCCATGTTGGTAGCTGACCTCTGCCAGTGAGCAAGGCTCTGCCATGGTAGCTTGGGAGTTGGGGACCCGAACTATTCTCATGGCCTTGATTAGAGAACACATCCCCCTCTTAGACAAATGTGTGCAATGTAGCTGTAAGACAAGGGTTCTGTGTGAGATAAAAGGACACCAGAGGTCGCAGAAACATCCACTTTCCTTTTGTGACGGGAGAACAGAGGCACGGAAGACCACCTGATTAGTTTTGCCAGCTGGGAGGTCTTGGGTAAGACGTTTGGTGAAGAGTTCTGTCAGACGACAGAAGCCGTTCAGAGCAGTGGACCCGCCGGGGCCAGGGAGTTGGAGCCTCCTGTGGAGACACATTAGTCAGATGCTGTCCCTCAGCGCCTCAGCTGTCCCTCAGCTCGGGCCCAGGACTCATCCGGGGCACATGTTGACCGGCTGCCTTCCTCCTCGGTGGGAGAGCCCGGCACCACTGAGCCTGCCAAGGACACCGACATTGCGGAAAGGGTGTCTCCTCCAGAGCCATGAATGGCCTCGGGGAGGGGAAGGGAGAGGGGCTTTGCCATTGGACAGGCTCCCTGCTGTCCTCTACAAACAAGGACCCCGAGCAGAGGCAGGGCCAGGGTTGACCTCTCTGACGTGAGTCGCCTTCTTAGGTGACCTTTGTTAACCAAGCCGTGGTTCTCAGCCAGGACTGTGACATTCCCTACCTTTGGGAAACTAGGCAGTGGCGAGAGATAGTTCTGATATCCTCTCTTGGGGCGGGCAGGTGCCGCCGGCATCCAGTGGTAGAGGCCAGGCCTGCTGCCGACGTTGTCAGGGACAGGACAGCCCTCTGCGGTAGACGGCGATCTTGCTCCAAATGTCAGCAGGGCAAGACTTGTGCACTCTACGCAGCTCGGCCTCAAAGTGCTCCTGAGCAGGGCTCCGTCTTGCTCTCTCAACAGGAAACCATGATGGACCACGCCCTGCGTACCATCTCCTACATCGCCGACATCGGGAACATCGTGGTGCTGATGGCCAGGCGCCGCATGCCCCGCTCGGCCTCGCAGGACTGCATCGAGACCACCCCCGGGGCCCCAGAGGGGAAGGAGCAGTGCAAGATGACCTGCCACGTGTTTGAGTCGGAAGACGTAAGTAACGTGGTGGGCGCGGTGCCTGGCAAATTCCCCGGCAGCCAGAGGAGGCCATGGGTGCTGCCCTTCATGTTTCCGATGACCTTAGGGGTTCTTGCCACTGTCTGTGGGTTTCTGAAGGTGGGGAAACAGCTTTATTTCACTTCATGAGCTAGCTGCCTCACCACAGGAGCTACATATAAATTGAGCAGTGGATAACATGCAAGCGGAGCTGTCTGTCAGCAGAAACCATTTTATAAACCCTTCCCTCTGTAAAATAAGCCTGATCTATACCTAACTTTTCTGCTGTTAAAATGCACCTTTTCACACGCCAGGTTTGCTTGACACGAGGCCCAGAAACCTTCGGTTAAGCTCTGCCTTTGTGTATGTCATTTCTCCTTACAACCAATTTTGATTTCACCTCAAAAACTGTTTTTGAACACAGGCCTGGTGGCCTACACCTACAATCCAGCACTCTGGGAAGCTGAGGCAAGAAGGTCCCAAGTTCCAGCACAGCCCAGACAATGTAGCGACCTTACAAGGCCTGGGGGAGTGGGGGTCAATACAAACACCTTGGGTCCAATCCCCAGTGCTGCCAGAAAAATTGAGGTTTAAAATACAAAGAAATTTACAAAGAGACTGCAGGGTGGTGCGTGCCTGTTGTGCCAGCTGCCCTGGAGGCTGAGGCAGAAGGATCTTCGCTTGAGTACAGCTTAGAGCAAGCAGGGGCAACATAGCAAGGTCCATCTTTAAAAAAGTAAAGACTGAGCCAAGGAGCAGGTGGTTCCTGGGCCCGGCAAGTTCTCCTGCAGGCTGGCCCTTCCGTGGGGGCTGTGCCGAGCCAGTCCTGCAGCTGTTGTCGGAGTGGGACATTTGAACATTGTCCACAGTCCGCAGACCCAGTGCCCCCAGAGCAGGCCGGTCATGCCCAGCTTTTGTCAGAGGTCCCCCATTTCAGGCAGCAATGGCTGCCCAGGAGCCCAGATCCTTCTTGTTCAGACAAGGAGTCCCAGTATCCCTGGGACCCGGCTCTCCGGGAAGGGTCCCGTTACGTCCATAATTATGAAATAAGGCATAGAAACTGTGTTCCAAACAGATGTCAACTTTGCAGGTGGGGGCGGTCATCTTTTCTCTGAAGAAATGGTCACCTTAGAGTGCTTCAAGGCCATGGCAGATTTACAGGCAAGGACTTTATTTACGTGCAGAGCTGCTAGTGCACCTACACACACTCCCGTCACTACCCACAGACCTGTGCATGCTGGGACGAGTGTTTGTGAACAGCTGGGGGCCTGGTGACACCTGAGTCCCAGAATGCTCAGGTGACGGGCAGCGTGAGGGAGGAGCAGGCCCATGGCAGGAGGAGTGTAGTCGGTTGGTGGGAGGGCTGAGGGGCAGGGGCCTGGCAGCCTCCAAGGCACGGCCCGCACAGAGGGCTCTGGGCTGTGTTAAAGCCAGCTTGTGCTGCCCTCTGTGGCCCTGAGTGTCTCCATTCAGCAGACGCCAAGGCCCATGGCCTGGCAGGATAGGGTGCGGCTGCCCAGTAGCCCGTGAAGGAATGAGGAAGGGGCTGCCCAGATGGACCGAGAGTAGCACTGACCAGAAGGGGATACCTACGTGGGCGACGGGCTCCTCGCATATGCCGGAGGCTGGGGAGCGCACATCCCCCAAGCATCTCCTCCAGAGCATCTGTGGGGTGGCAAGAGGGGGCAGCATGGCACAAGGAGAGGGGCCTGGCAGTGTGGGTACCAGGAGCACCCAAGTTGGTATGCCAGGGCTATGGCTGGTTGGAGCCAGCTAGTGGTGAACGGGTGTGTTCCCTTCCCATCCGGGACCTTCTTCGGGTGGGGACAGAAGAAGTCAGTGGGGGGTTCTGTCCTAAAGGTCCCACGCCCTCCCTGTGGCCAGCTGCCCCCACCTCCACTCACACAAAGCCTCTGTACTCCTGCCAGGCCGGTGGTGCCACCTGGTGGTGGTACCAGGACAGCCGGCTTGCCCACCACCAGTAAGGTCATGGAGCCTGTCGTGTGGACAGCTGAGGACCCAGTATTGCGGGGTAGTTCGACCTAAAATCGGTACCTGTTTAGGGACAGGCCTGAGTGTGCTGTGATCCGGCGGGAAGCTCTTTTACTTGCGCAGCTTCACTGCCTGTGCTTCAAGCCTGTGTGGTGCAGAGTGAGAAGGAGCACAGGCTGCTGCCCCCTGGACAGCAGACCTGTGCGGTGCGTGCCCAGGCGTGGGCTGGGGAGAGGCGTTGTTGTGTCCCGTGACGCCACTGTCAGAGCCCCCTGCTCTTCCAAGGGCTGCAGGGCAGTGAGTGAGCGTGGGCAGGTGTCCTGCAGGTGGCAGCAAGGCCCTGCTTGGTGTCCTGGTGGCCAGGCCTTTGCCACGCTAGCGTCGGTACATCCACAGGAGTAGTGCAGGTGAAGTAAGAAGTGGGGGCTCCCTTCCGCAGGCTCTGTGCTGGTGTCCCTGGGGGTCAGGCACAGCCCGCTCTGGAGAGGACCCCAACCAGCACTCAGGAGCGGCAGATGTGCAATACACAATTAATTGTGTGTCTGTGACCATCCCAGGAAAACACTTCAAATTTAGTTTTGAAATACAACAGAGAAAATAAAACTACAGTCACACCTACCATTTACAATAATAAAATGTGATATTTAGCAAAATATTTATTCCCTTCCTTCATTTTATTGAAACCACTCTCTGCCCTGGGTGTCTGGGACATAGGACAACTCATCGAGACATAGTCAGGACTGGGCCCTCCGGTCAGGTGGCAGGAGAGCTCACTCCGCCTGGCCCCTGGCAGGAGGATATTGGTCCAAGGTGCCTTTCACCAGCCAGGGTCCAGGGCACTGTCTCATGCCTGCCTCCCTTGAGACTTACAGGTCCTTCTGCATCCAGCTCTGCCACAGCCCATCGCTCCCAGGGGCCTGTGGGGTGCGCCTCAGTGCCTGTATCTGTGGCCTGTGTCGCCCCACAGGCCCAGCTGATAGCGCAGTCCATCGGGCAGGCCTTCAGTGTGGCCTACCAGGAGTTTCTGAGGGCCAATGGCATCAACCCCGAAGACCTGAGCCAGAAAGAGTACAGTGACATCATCAACACCCAGGAGATGTACAACGACGACCTCATCCACTTCTCAAACTCCGAGAACTGCAAGGAGGTAAGGCGCAGCGGCCTGGGTCGCAGGGAGCCCATTCTGCCGCCACCTCCTGCTCCTGGAGCATCCCCCAGGGCCTGTCCTGACAACACCAGGGTGTCCAGGCTCCGCCCGCTGGTCTCTGATGAGGATACAGCTCACTGGTCTGCATGCATGCCCTCTATTGCCTTTGCGTCAGATGTGGGCCGCCTGCGGCAGAGGTCTGGCTCCTGGCTCGGAGCTGAGCGCTTGTGTGTGAAATGAGACAATTCTAACAAAGACGCTGATTACAATCAGCCTTAATGACCTCGAAAGCCTGCTTCTTAATGCTGCTGTTATCAGTGGGGGCTCAGCATCCAGGAGCTCTTTGTGAAAAGCGTGTGGGTGGCATCTTCACACTAGGGAACCTGGGTCCCCTGGAAGAACTGTTGCCAAGTTGCTGGCAGCAGAGGCCTTCATACGGCCTAGAAGCTTGCTTCAGGTACCTTCCAGGACAGCTTTAGTGGATGCGGGTAAATGAATATCCTGGCCCTGGCCCTGGCCTTGAGCTCGTCTACCTATCAGTTAGTGGATGAATGATCTTGAACGAATAACCTTGAGAGAGCCGCAGGCAGTTTCCTGAGAGACGCAGCCGTGAGGTAAAGAACACATAGGGCCTTCTAGATGGGAGCAGAGCTGGAGGCGGGGTGGGCATGGGTCTGAGCAGTTGTTTTGGCTTCTGGGTTTGGCAGGTGGGGAGCAGGAACCAGGAGCCTGGAGCCAGGCCGGGGGCAGGGGATTCCATGCCGCCAGGTTTACAGGACTTCTGGTGGGCCCCAGGGTCCTGGCAGCAGAGTAGGCCAGGCCTTTCCGGCCATGACCTCTCCTGGCCGAGACAAGCTGGCCTCAGATCCCAGAGTGTAGGCAGCTCATGCGCATGTGCTGTGGCTTCCCTTGCAGCTGCAGCTGGAGAAGCACAAGGGGGAGATTCTGGGCGTGGTGGTCGTGGAGTCGGGCTGGGGCTCCATCCTGCCCACGGTGATCCTGGCCAACATGATGAATGGTGGTCCGGCAGCCCGCTCGGGAAAGCTGAGCATCGGGGACCAGATCATGTCCATCAATGGCACCAGCCTGGTGGGGCTGCCTCTCGCCACCTGCCAGGGGGTCATCAAGGTGGGTGCCTGAGACCCTCCTCCTGGTGGCCTCTCCAGCCCTGCGTCACCTGATCCTTACAGACACTGAGGTCCAGAGATAGTCAGAAATTGAGCCCAAGGCTATACCATGGCTGGGCAGGCTGCCCAGGGATGGTGAGGGGAGAGGGTTCGCATCTTAGCTCAGCTGGGCCACACATGCTCCAGGCAAAGGGCTGAGGGGGTGAGTGTAGGATGACCAGTCTGTCCCAGTTTGCCAGGGATTCACACTGGAAGTCCTACCCTGAGGGAGCCCTGGATCTTGGCAGCCTGGGACAGAGGCTGCCTGACACAGCTGCATGGGAAGGATAGACATTCTGGCCACCAGTCTGTGAACTCGTAGCTTGGGGACATACCGGTCTGGCAGAGGGGACTTGAGCGGGTGGGTCAGGGTCTCACTCCGGCCCTGTGGCTGGTCCCCAGAGCACTGAGCCTGTGGTGTTAGAGGAGCCCCTCTCCTTCCTCTTTCAGCCCAGGGACCAAGACATTCCCAGGGCCAGAAAACCCCAGGACCCGGCGTTTGGGTCGGCCCTGGAGACCCTCTGCCGTGCAGGGTTAGCACAAAGGCCCTGGCTGGTCTGTCGGGACAACTCCCCAGGCTCTGCGTGGCGCAGGGTTAGCCTGACTCTTCACAAGGCCCATAGCAAGGGTTCCCCCTTCCATTCCCCTGGGACCCCCTTGGCCCCAGAACTGCATCAAGGCCGTTCATGATAGCCATGTCCTCTCTGGGGCCTGAGGGGACCCTTGCCTCAGCCTGGATGTAGCCCCGAAGCCTCAGGCGTGCTCAGTGCTCCTTCTCTGAGTCTGTGACTCTTGCCCTGCTGATCCATCAGGGGAGGGCGTGTGCTTTTAACAAAAGTGCCCCGCAATCTTTCCAAAGAGGGAGATCTGCTGCTTGCAACACGGCGACAGCCCCTGCCATGACCCCTGAGTGTGACCATGTTGTTCAGAACCTGGCTTCTGGCTTCTCAGTGGCTTGTTTTACCTGGACCATGAAGTGCATCCAGGCACAGTGGGCCACTGGGTGCACTGCCACCCTGGGGCCAGCCGCTCTCACAAGGGCAGGGTGATATGCCTGCTGGGTGGGGGCACAGGCAATGTCCACAGCCTGGCCTGTGACTTCCGTCGTGTGCCGTGCAGGGCCTGAAGAACCAGACGCAGGTGAAGCTCAACATTGTCAGCTGTCCACCTGTCACCACAGTCCTCATCAAGCGACCCGACCTCAAGTACCAGCTGGGCTTCAGTGTGCAGAATGGAATCGTGAGTCCGCTTGCCCTGTCCTAGGCTGCCTCTACCGCACGTGGCTCTGGGTACCCACAGGGCAGCAGGGCCACAGTGGCTCCTGTCGGGTGAGGTAGGCTGCACCAGCAGCCAGGCCACAAGGCTGGAGCTTTCTGTGGTTCTGGGACAGGTCCTGGTGCCGGCCAGGTAGAAAAGGAGACCCAGGTATGGCCGTGGAGGGGTCCCTCTGGTCCTTTGAGGGACCAATGTCCCAGTGAGGGCTCTTTGGCCAATAGCTGCTTTGCAAGGGAGGAAAGCAGGCTCAGCCATTGTGCCGGCTTGGATACACGCAACAGCGGTGGCATCAGACTCACTGTGCTCAGCACATTCTTGTTCACTCATCCACTCCTTCACCTGTTCAGCTGTTCGTGCAATACCCATGCCACTTTGTTCAGTAGCTTGGCCAACTCTGGGTACCTCATGCAAGTGGAAGCAAATAGCATCTGCCCTTGAGCCGCCAGCCCGTGCTACTCGGCATAATGTCCTCAGAGTTCATCCACGAGGGGCATGTGTCAGAACTTCCTTCCTTTTTAGACTAGATAATATTCCACCACATGGATGTTGAGTTTATCCCTCCCTCCCTCTCTCCCTCTCACCCTCCCTCCCTGCCTCC